ATGTCATTTTTTTCGGCTTTGCCGACAATGGTATCGATAAATCGTCCATTTCCCTATTAATTAATATAATAAAATGATTCGAATCAATCACTTGATGACCAGAGTAATATGTAGAATCTCCTTGTCTTATTCAGAACTTTTAAGGGATATGATCTATCACAGTTTAGCATCATTTAATCGTAGTTATTTGTTTGAAAGTTATCAGTATATCTATACAAACTTCAAACCCACAATTTTTCCTTCTATGATATCATTATCATTTCATTCATTGTTCATTCGTTATGCTTAATTGATAGATTTCTCAACAGCGATGCAGCTGCACGATTTCTCCGATTTGCAAAGTTTTCCGAGCAGATTACGCTCTTTAACAATATGTTTAAGTGGAAACATTTTCCTGGAAGGATTTTTGAGGAAAGTTTACACATTCATCTCTTCCATGGAAGTACTCCAAATTATTGGTAATTAATACACATTTCATTTTAATAACTTGAAATACCACTGAATTGAAGAACTTTGAATCAGATTAAGTCAAATATTCGAAGCAATAATTTCAGCAACCTTTTATATCTAGATTTTTTTCTCTGATAATCCTAATCGGTTTAGGATTTCGCAAACGTTTACAGGAACATATGAAAAGATAGAGGACGAAGAGGAAGAAGTTTATGAGACAGTGAATGTACATAAACTAAAACAATTCATACCGAATCTTCGTGTTGTTAACTTTTGGGGTGTTAGTTTGTTTATTCATTTATTTGAATTTTTTTCAAATTACTTGTCAAAAGTTTAATTCGCATTCGTCGAAGTCTTTTATGTTAGTGTTATGACAATATTAATCTTTTTTTCAATCCCTTAATCTTTTGCATTTCCCACAACTGCTGAGTAAATGATGATAATGTAGGAAATGCAAGGAATTTTATTTAAACCAAAATTCCAAATTTCTTTTCCTGTTGTCCCTTTAGAAAAGAAGCCTTACATGATTTTAAGTTTTAAACTTTCTCTTGAATTTCATTTTGTATGGTATCATCTCTGCTTTTTATACGTAATGAATAGAAACTTCAGGTGCCTTTCATAACAGACGAGCATGTCGAATCGATATCATCCAACTGCGCCCATTTAGAATGCCTTTGCGTCAATTATTGTACAAAAGTTACTGGATCCTGTCTTAGACTTGTGCTGCAACGTTGCAAGAAACTTAGGAGTCTTCTTCTCGCTCACGCAAGTGTGTTTCTCGCGAGTGATCAATTTACTTTAACTGGCTAATAAATAAGAGTACATTATCAGGTTGTATGAGGCTTCCTGGATTATATCTCGATCTACTAGTTATATTGCTTTACTATAGCTCTTGTAAATAGAATGTCTCTTTCTCTAGAAGTTAGTATATGAAAGAAGTCTTTACATGAGCAAATATTTCGGAACATTGCAAGATTAACTGATAGAAATATTATTGGAATGGTTAGGAACAAAATGACTTTAAAGAGTGGAAATCAAGCCACTATATGCGCAATTCATTAAATGAAATGAACTTTAGCACTTGACAATGAAATCATAAAATCTGTGGAATGGGAAACAACATACATCGAAGAACTAAATATCTGTGGTACTGAGCTATCGTCTGATACATTAATTAGCACCTTAACGCGACTAAAACATCTCATTTGGCTTGATGCATCTTGGCTAGAAAATATGAATGACCAGGTGAGATCGTAAAGTAATACTTTGTGCAATATTCAAAGATTTCGTCAAAACAAAGAGATCATAGTCAGGATTACACATCTTCAAAACATTTATTAGCTCATCATTTTCAGGTTCTAGAAGCCTGGCTGGGTTCAGATTCCATTGTAAATTTGCAGTATCTTAACTTAGACACCTGCGACTCGCTGAATGAAGCATCATTAACGGATCTCATATCCAGGATGGGAAATCAATTACTGGGCTTAAACTTGGGAGGACATCATAAATTACTGGAATATTTTTGGACAAATATGATCCCAAAGCTTAAAAACATCAAGTAAGTTTCTTTTTTTTAGTTCAGTATATTCATCTACATCAGTTTATTGTTCTACTGGTTAATTCGAACCGTACTTGTTTGTAACAAGTCCTACTGCAACGTACAATTTATCAAAATTCCATGCTATCAATTTCTGTACATGTATCCTTGTCCTAAAAAAAAGAATGTATCCTTCGAAATCCGCAAAGTGGAAGTATTTTTCACTGAGATTTTCATTTACAAAATGTTGAAACTTAAATACATCGAGATATTTCGCAGAATACTTGTCATGGGAACGGCGGAAGATTGTTGCTCAAAAGTACTCGCAAAAATTCATATTGATCAATTTATTGATAGTATCGCGCAAAATTGTCCAAAACTATGCCGTCTTGAGATTCGCTGGGATGATGGAACATTACGATTCAGTGATAAATCGAGGTGAGATATTTAAATATCTACATTATTTAGCACTTCTGTCTTCTTTTTTAGCGTTTGTCCCCTATATAATGCAGGGTCCGCTTTTCTGGTTCTTGGGGCCATTTTGCTTGATCATGCGCTTAATCGGACTATTTTTATACCATACAACATTGGTCATTCAAGGCTATCGCTAGACTTAGTGAAAACACAATCGATCGGTAAAGTGTAAAAACAAATAAAGCACTTCCGTAGCTCACCCAAAATTTCAACTAAATTGCTGAACTTGAATACACAATTGGAGCATTTTGATGTCGCCATACCAGAGAGTTCACGATGTATTACCAGTCTGCTTTAGCAAATTCATCGATACTCTTCGACTGAAATGTCTGAAACTGCATTCGGTAGTACTATCTGATGGTCAGTATTATGAATTGGTACGCGCCAATTTTGAGCGAGCTGATCGGCTATGCGTTGTCAGGTGAATAATCATTTTATTTATTATATTAGTAGCTGTAAGGTAAGTTAATAGGAATCCCTTTGATTGTAGCTATTGTTCAGAAAAAAACTAAATAACTCCAAAAATTATCTCATTCCTAGCGTATACCATTCCTGATTTTTTTTGCAAAATAGCACCTTCATTGAATGTACTTTGTGAGGAGGATGAAGCGTTATTACTATAATGGTACTCTGATGATAAATCAAAAAACATGGCATGTATCATTCATGACAATCCTCAGATCAGCCATCAATTACGCTTAATTTGGTACGCTAAAAAACTAGGTATCAGTGACAATTTACAGGACATTGGAAATGTGCCGTACGGGACTAATGCATTGTTCAAAATATTACAATCAGTTACTATTCAACTAAGTGTGAACGACGACTTATATCTTTCATACCTTTTATGTTATATAATTCAATTAATCAGTGCTATATCTCTCCAATCTACAAAACCCTTTACTGATTAACAAGGATCTCCCTCCAAATCACCAAATCAGTTATCACGTAAGCTCAGTATTTGTATTGACTTACAAGCGTGCGTCTATATGCCTCCCCTGCTGTAAGTACGCAAAAAACATTTAAATTTTCGATTTTCGCGTTCGTGTATGTGTTCATGTTTGTGTACAACTCATAGAATATGGTGGAAATTACGGACAAAGTATATGAGTAAATTCATGCGAAAAATATTCCTTTTTTCTATCACCTTAAGTTGTACCAATATGATTTAATGACTTCATGTATGCTCCGTGTTCTTCGGGGTAAGAAATTTCGAAATAAGAAAATAAATGAAACGCCCGGATCCAGATTTTTTTAAATCACGTTTTATTCTTTCGTTCACGTCAAACAGAATTAATCTATCACCTTCAGTGATGCGTATCAAAAATACAATGATTTTTTTTTTCTTTTTCGATGTAAAACTCAAAATGCAAGTATGTAATATTACTGGTAGAGTATGGCAAGAATTTCTGTGCAGGGAAATGCAAAAGTGATGCAGAGACAAAAAAAAAAATCAGAACAAAAAGCAAATAAAATTAGATAAATAACAACACAAGTTATCCGTCAAATTCTACATTTCGCCATCACAGTGAATGTTACCAGCGTCTAACTGAAATAAAACTACACAAATAATAAAATACTTTAGAGATAACAATGGATTACAACGAGCAAGCCGTGTGAATCTTCCCTAAACAATTTGAAATGCAAACAAACTGGTGTAAGACAGAGCATGCTGCGTTTTGGTATATTTGTAATTCTTCAAAATTGAATAGAACAAAATTCGCTGAAACTAGTATTGTTTTTAAGAAAAAGAAAACGGAGAATTGGAGAAAGGTTAGGAGTAAAAACAACACATCACATCAGACAATAGGTGATTGTTAACTATATCATAATCTGACATTCATAAACAGATGTGAAAAATGATCGCCAATCCGTACAATGCACTGATGACCCAATAACAACAGGTATGCCTAATTAATGTTTTCGATGGGACAACAAAAAGGAAAAAAAAGCAACCTGCTTCTGCTTCGTGTTTCAAATATTTTGCAAAGTGTTTCCCTAGTAAGTTCACAGATTTCGGGATTTTCATAATAAATTTTGTCTTGCTCAAAATCCGAACATTCACTCCTAACAAAATAATTCAAAAATCCGCAGATTTATGCACAGAAAAAAGGTTGAGGTATAATAATTGGCCATTACTTAAAACATATTTTATAGCATCAATGACTGAAATGATAAATACGAGAAGGATAATCAATATTGTTCACATGAATAATAATATAAAATTGTATATGTACATTGTCATCCATGAAAGAGCAAAATTCGACTCGAACGACATCAAAACGAATAAAATATCACGAAATATGAGGAGAATTAATGAGATTAGTGGATAAGCAATTGTGATTGCATGTAAATCTCAAATAGTAAGACGTTGACGAGGCGTGACAAAATAATTTGAGCAAAAATGTTTAAAGATAGATGTCACACACTTTTCAATGATTACTAAGCTTCGCAGGAAGAAAGCGGCTATGCTTTAAGTCTGAAAAATAGATGTTGGCAACTGCTAATTTGATTCTTATGAAAAGAAAATTTAAAAAGACAGAAAAGGAAAGAAAAATACTAGCTATTCTTGCAATCAAACAAAGCATTAGATGTAACTATATAAATGACCGCTACACAAAAAATTCCCAGTATCTATAAGTCATTTACAAATACAGTATTACTAGCAGTAAGGCAACTAAGCAGAAGTCCGCTGACTGAAACAGAGTTAGAGAAATAGAATGCAGAACATAAAGAATGACATGAATTCGGAACAGCTATTTCAGTAGTCAAAACATTAAAAAAAACAAAATAGAATAAACTGCCACTAATCCTGAGCTTACACTTCCTAATTTTTGCTTGTTTTCTTAACCTTCTTCTTATCAGTTCTCAGTATCTTTTTATCCCGCTTATCATTCACATCCTTTTTATCGTCTACCTCTTTGGCGGAGTTTACATTTACATCCTCCTCTGTTTTTGACAGTTTGATAACTTTCTTGTTTTCTGCACTTCTCTTCAATTTCTGAACAGCATCAGCATCACAGGAACTGCAAGCATTTTCCGTCTCGACGAAGCTCAAACTGTTCGCGAAGCCATTCTCAAGAGCTTTTACAGAGCCGTCATCGGGTGTTTCGTGCCCACTGGCACTAGCAGAATCAGGTTGATCGTCGACTATTTCCGAATCATTACCATCATACGTATCATTGCGCTGATAGATGGAATGTTCAATTGGGTTGCGCTGTAAAAGCTTGCGGTATAAAACAAAAAGAAGTTGACAAGCAATATCTAGTTCTCACCTAGTACCATATCAGTTCCAGCCACTATTACAAAGGAGAAAAAACGGATCTCCCAATTTTTTCGGGAATTCCCAGCAAAT